CTATTTGGTGAGGGCTTCTGTATAGACAATATTCTTTGTGTATGTCTTGCTTGCACTGATATTCTTATTCTTATTCTTGTTTTTCTTCTCCTCCTTTGTGTATGTGTCACTTGTACCGATCTTCTTATTCTTCACCTTGTTCTCATCATGTGTACCTGTTAGTACCTTTATGTTTTCTATCATGGTCGCTCTAGAAAGTGCAACATATAGTTGACCATGTGAGAATACCGGTTCAGGCAGGTACACGCCGACATTTGCTATTGTCTGACCTTGTGATTTGTTTATTGTCATTGCAAAGCTGAGCCTGATTGGAAATTGTTTCCTCTTGAAACTAAATGGGAACATGTCATCGTCAGAGGGGCATAATGGTATGCGAGGCAAGAAAACTCGCATTCCAGAGTGCTGCCCTACCACAATCTCTGCATCAATTGCATTTTTCTGAAACCCACGTACGACCAACCTTGTGCCATTGCATAGTCCATTAGCGGGGTCAATATTCCTAAGTAGTATGATTGGACAATTTATTTTGAGCTTTAGCATATGTGGAGGCAATCCATTTGGGGTGAGTGTGTTTAGGAATTTTGGTGGATAGTAGTTATGTGGGTCGTCTTCTACAGAATCGAAGCTGTGGTACACCATCTCCTCCCCTTGGAAGCGATCAATCATTTGTAGGTTGATTTTGTCTACACAGTCGTTTCTTGTGGATAAAATTGCCCTTGACGTGATGTATTTTGGATCTTTTAGGGAAGCAGGTCGGTAGATACTGTCAATGAGTCTATCAAGGCCATTATCATCCGCCTTATTTGGCACACATATACTTGTAGGTAGAAGTATTTCACCATCATCATTTGTCTCCTCGGTTCCGTTTCCAATGCGTAGTAGGTATTCTGTGAACCATGGGTCGTTTGGAGCCCTCATGTTGCGCACAAGCTTCAATTGATGCATGCAATTCCAGAGCTTGGACCTGCGTAGTGATGCATCTACTATCTGAGCTCTTGTTCCCTTTCGGACAACAGGGAGCACTTGCCTAAAATCTCCACCAAACACGACCGTTTTTCCACCGAATGGAAGATCTGGTTTGTCCATTATGTCTCGCATGCTTTTGTCTAGTGCCTCCACCGTCTGCCTCTTAGTCATACATGCTTCATCCCAGATTATGAGTGATGCTGCTTGGAGTAGCTTGGCTGTCCCACTTTGTTTTGTGAACCCACAAATATCTCCATCGTCTATTCTTAATGGAATCTTGAACCTCGAGTGTGCGGTCCTCCCTCCAGGCATTATAGAAGCAGCAACACCTGAAGTGGCCGTTGCCACGGCAATCATGCCTTGTCCGCGTATTGTGGCCAAGAGAGCCCTGTAAAGAAAAGTTTTTCCCGTCCCCCCGGTCCATCGACAAAGAATATGCCTCCTCTTTGGCAGTCAACCGTGGCTAGGATTTTATCGTAGGCTTTCCTCTGCTCGTTGTTTAGTTTCTTATGCAAAGATGCGTCCTCAGGGTCTACCTTGATTGAGGTCTCCTCTATGATCTCCCTAGGTACATCATTTGTTGTGTCATGTTGTTTGTCAATCTTTGGAAGAGGAAACGATTCTATGTCTTTTCCCATTGAGTGCAAGATGTCCCTGATATTTTTCAACACCATCTGTTCAACCGTGTGCTTGCATTTGCAATTTATATTGTAGTCTTTCGACATTGCCTCAAGGTGATTGTTCCAAAGGCTACGGACGTCGTTGGGCATGCAAAACACCAGGATTGTCGTGAATAGCCTTCGTAGCGATGAGGACACTTGGAACAACTCTGCTTCTGTCATGGAGTCATCAAGTGTGTTGTCTGCCTCAATGAGCCCCCTATTTTCTGCTGCTTCACGGAAGGTTGGCATTATTTGTCCATCAATTGTTCGTAGGCCTTCGTAGCTGGTGGCGCCTGTCACGTGGTTTAGGAGAACCCGAAGATAGTATCGTTCTCCTTCGGCCGGGTGTGCTGAGATGATCCTGCCAACCTGGGACAGAGCGGCTCGTTTCCTTTCTTGCCAAAATTTCCCTCGTCTTTGCCAAGTATAATATTCCGGAAAGTCCCTATATAGTATGCCTCGTGCTTTCACATGTAAGTTGTTTGCTTGAAAGTATGTTGTCAACATTGATTTTTTGGTGCCATCACGGTCGATAATATTTTTTATTTTTTCCTTGCCATGATATGAAACCATGTGCATATTTGGGAGATGTAGCTGCAATTGCAAGACTGCTGGGTGTATTTTGCTTAGTTCGAAGCCATATATTCTCCACAATGCTTCTGGAGGTGTCACCCACCGTGCATCTCTGTATTGTCGAATCTCGTCAATTTCCACTTCATCTACTTTGTCAGTTACAAATGCTCTGTCATGACTCTTGTACATGAACTTGAACAGGTACTTAACGGCTTTAATGCTTGAACATATCTCAACATTTATGTGGCAATTGAGCATCCTTAATAGATAGGGATTGTAAGGAACCACCCACCTATTGTCAAGTTTCCAATTTCGGAAAATTTCGGTACTGTCGTCATTGCGTCTCCTATAGAGCGGGTAGCAGTCCTTGCCTTGAATTGTAGTTTCATTAAATGGCCTTGGATAATTATTCTTGCATGATGGATGGTTTTTTGTGCATGGAAATTTTTTATTCAATGCACCACAAGGACCATGTATCATATGTTTGATTACCATTTTGTATAGCTCTGGGTACTTGTGCTTGTTAGGGAGCTCAGCAGAGATGATTCTGTCATACTGTTCCGGACATGTGTACTTGTATTTTTCGGTCATGGTGAGCAAAAAGTGAGCATGGGGTAATCCCCACTTTTGGAACTCTATGACATATGTATATGCCTTAACCTTTCCAAGAATGGTCTTCTCAAATAGTTGCTTCTTCATTTCTTCCAACTTCGCCCTGAAAACACGAACAACAATATCTAGGCGATCTTGTGGTGTTTGTCCAGACTGTAGTTCACGTGTGATCTCTTCCCATTTGGGGTTGCAGGTCATTGAGAGGAATATGTCTGGCTTTCCATATTTTCTAACTAAAGCCATAGCATCTTGATACCGACGAAGTTTATCTCGTGGCCCTCCAATAAATGACGAGGCAAGTACTGTCCGTTTTCCGACTGCATTTCCCTTTTGTTCTCCAGCTTGAATATTGTCTACAAGGTCTTGGTATAGATCTGCCCTTATTTCCTTTTGATGATGCCACATGTAATCCAGTCTAGAGTTTTCAATCTTGATGTATGTATCTACAGCAAACTGTTGGAAAAGTCGTCCGCCGTGCAATATTGGGTTGAATATATTTGGTCGTGTATGGAATTTATAGCAGTAGTATTCTCTCATGGTTACCCAGAGGCCATTGACTGGATCTGTGCAAATATTGCAACATAAAAAGTTAGTTGGACACGTAGAAGTATACCATATATGAAAGTTGAATTTTGAAGGGAATAATGAATGGAATTTTTACATGGGTCGTCTTCATTGTAGATATTATTAGCACCAACATCTTCCTCAAGTGTATCCTTCTTTGGGATTTTCCTATGCCAGCCCAGTTCAGCTCTTGGAAAGAATAGAGGATACGACAATGGATCATAGCACCCATAATATGATCTAATGTGCTTGGTTTCGTTGTTGTTCCCATGTAGTACTATTACATTCTTGTCATAAGTATTTCTTTTTTCATTTCCTTCAACCAACACTGAAGCTACCTCTGAAGTGACTGGTGCATTGTATGTTCTCTGGTCCAATCTTTGGTCAAGGTTCAAGATGACTCTGTAGTCCTCAAGGTTTTGGACTTGTCCCAAACTCCTAAACTGATGAGAGTATGGGTTATCGCGTAGAATGTCCGTTATTATTCTGATCACATGCTTGTCTTGCTCGTACATTTCCCCGCGACAATGGCGGTATCGATGCTCTAAGTTTGGATCATCGTCGTAGAAGTATAGCTCCAGATGCTTTGGATATGATCGACTATTACCAAATGAGTGTATATTGTGATAGATCTGACCATGAGCTCGAAAGGTGTAAATACCAGTTGTCCGCATGTCAGTTGTGTCTCTATCAAGGTGGCAGTATAGACTAGTAAATGAGAAGTGTCCATTGAAAAATCTTATGTTGTTTCGAAAATGTCTTGCATTAGAGTCGTTGCTTGTCCAAAGTCTCATGAGTTCAGGTGGTGTATCTGGATTGGCTGGTCTTATCTGTCCTTTATTGCAGCATAACCCCTTCGATTCATACATAAATTTTTTCGCATTACAGAAGCTGCAATTTCGTACCATTTTGAGCATGTGTGTGATCTTTGGTATGTTGCTATAGACGAAATCATACGGATCAGGGTTGTAAAATTCCTGGTCTTCTCCAGTTTTGATTTCCACTTCCCTATCCGATTCTGGTTTGATTTATCGCATCAAAAAATTAGTAAAGGAGTAATAAAATGATACAAATATGGTTAAATTGTATTGAGCATACCTTCACCAGAGAACATGTATTCTTCCTCGTCCGTGTCTTCTTCAAATATGACTTCATCATTACCTGTGTAGTAAACTTTTATTATATATTTTTCTTCGACTTGCATAAGAATATATATGAAATTGGTAACCTTACCATGATCGTCATGGTAGATTGATTGTGTTGGTGCATCTACTTCTTTGATTGTTGCTTCTTGCTCACATATGACTTCATCATTACCTGTGTAGTAAGTTTTGACTATTATATATATAATTTTAGTATTGCATAAACGTATATATGAAATTTATAAGCCTACCGTGATCCTCATTGTAGAATGATTGTATTCGTGCATCCACTTCTTTGATTGTTGGAAACAATGAAGAGGGGATGTCTGGCCACAAAGCCACCTTATTATTATCATCACTGTAGAGTGTTTGTGTTGGTGCATCCACTTGTGTGGTGCATGGAAACATTGAAGAAGGGTTGTCTATCCACAAAAGATGGTTAGTTGTATAGACAAATGTATATTTATTTGGAATGCGGATATTATATAAAATTAAGAGTATTACCGTAAATCACCACTTCTGACTCCTCTAGAGGTCCTATGTCATCTTTGCTGGTTACCGGCATGGATCCGTCTTCTTGTGATGTTACAGAAAGCATTTTCATCTGTCTTATCGTGAATTCTTCATTGCGATAGTGTAGCGATGTTTGCCTTTTTCCTGGCGTCACATGCTTTCTGTGTTTTACAAGAAATGGAGAAGTACCAACTTCATGTTCGGTTGCGATATATGCAGGGTTCTCCATCGCAATTGAATATTTGGAGCGGTTCAACTCACGATTAGCTCTAATTTGTTCTATTCTAGCTTTCTTCTGTTCAGGCCGCATAGTTGCATATTGTGATCTTTTTTTTGTCTTTTCATCTGGCTTCTTCCTTGAATCTTTATTTGTTTTGCTTCGTTGATAGGCTTCACGGCGTTTTTTCAGTTTTTCTTGTTTTTCTTCATCATTCATTCTTGCATACCGCTCTCTGTTTCTTTTTCTTCTTTGTTCATTGGCATCCATCGATCCAAATGACTTGTCTGCATAGAGTTTGTATAATGTAAACATTACACCCGGAAGGCTTTTCTTATATACAAATTAACATCTATTCCTCTTCGGATTTTTAATTGTCTGGAAAATTCCAAATTGCTGACAATAAATTTAATTTGTACATGGTGGGATCATATTGTTAATGAAGATGTGAAGGATGTCGTATGGAAAGAGATAAAGGACATACCTTACACAAATCTAACTTGTTAAGCACCTTAATCGAAGCAAAGCTTGCTAGCAGAAAGGCAATGGTACAAATCTGCATGGGAGTTTGTATAATGTAAGTAGTAAACCTCCCCGCCGAAAAAAAGTAGTAAACCTGATTGGCTTTTCTTCACTGTATATACCAATTAACAGCTATTCCTCATCAGATTTATTTATTTTTGCAGGGAATTCCTCATCGGATTTTACTTCTCCGGAAATTCCAAATTGATGATGATAAATTCAATTTGTATATGGCAGGATCCTACGGAGTATATTGTTCGTAAGGATGGGGAAGGGTGTCGTATGAAAAGAGACAACGAACATACCTTACGTAAATCTACTTGTTAAGCACCTTAATCAAATCAAAGCTAGCTATTTGAAAGGCGACGTCCAAAAGCGACTTCTAGCACAAAGCCGACGTACAAAGCTAGCTAAGCCAGAGGAAGCCGTTTGTATTTGTAGTAGTAGCACCACGTGTACGTTTAGCTAATTTAGAATTTGGACTCTTGCTAACTAAAGCCAGGAGAAACCGTGTGTTTGTATTGTAGCAGCACCAAACCGTGTGTTTGTATTGTAGCAGCACCACTTGTATGTTTAGCTAACTAGAATTTGAACTCGTGTACGTAGGTGACTAAATAATTAGGATTCCGATTCCTATTTTTGTAACAAATGTGTGCACTTTTGTGGTTTCAATGCTGAGATGGATAAGACTTAGAAGGGATAGAGATGTGTAATACTTTTTTATGATTTACTTTTAAGAATGAAAGTTTGAGCATGAACTACCTTTACTAAAGAGGCAAATACATCGATGGTACATCAAATTGCACAGGACGACCACTTTGGTGCCTAAAGTCAAAAAATACACGAAACTCAAACTTGTCTCGCAGCACAAATACGATGCAAAATCCGTTTGTAGATCATCGATTTGCACCGCGAAACAAGTTTGAGCACTAGTTTCATGTATTTTTCAACTTTAGGCACCAAAGTGATCATCCTATGCAACTTGATGTACTACCCGTGTATTTGCCTCTTTACTAAATATGAGCTGTTTCATGAAATTGCTCGCGTGCCATGGTCTGTGTTTGATACATGGACGACAAGTGCGGGTATATGCTCAGAGGAACGCATTCACAGGAGAATTGTCTGGTTTACCTTACACCTAGCTAAGTACAATTATGGCTAATTCACAAAAAAGTACAATTATGAATAATTCACAAAAAAAGTACAAACATAGCACATGAAATAATAGTGTATCTAATCATGCAAACTCCAATTATAGTACTAATTTTTTTCTTAATTAAGCACATCTTGCATGCCCTGCTCAAGTATTTGTCCGATTAATCAGTTAATTTGCCGATTAATCCCTACTCGTAGCGTCACCAAGTAGCCGATAAATCGTCCATTAGTTGATTAAATGACGGATTAACTTTCCAATTAACCTATTAATCCCCTACTCACTAGTCAACTGAGCAACTACCAGTTAACGATTTTCTTGACAATGCTTGCATGCCAAAATAAAATAACGCAAACGAGGACCTTATGCTGATCTACAATATCTACAAATACTTGTTGTGAAAACTCCTCGTCTAAAAACCTTCATAAACTTTAAACAAAACTACTAATTACAACTTAATGACAATACTAACCACATCACATCGTGCATGTGAAAAACAAATACCACATCTGGACAGTGCTAATATTGATCAACAACATTTTGAACTACATCTTCTCGAAATTCCTACTCTAAGTGCAACATATCTCCTCCGGTGACATATCTAAAATTTCAGTAATGCAGCATGGCATAGCTAATTACGAGCTCAATAACCAACTAATTTATATCGTGCATGTACAATAAATTGCATGTATTGGATAGCTCGTACCTTGATGTTCGACTTCTTAGTTTACTTCTCACTGACAAATCCTACTCACGATCAAAGCGGCTATTTTCTTCACTTGCACATATGCTAACGGAGAGGTAACAGAGTTGAGAGAGAGCCAAGCCAACGAGAGAGAGGAAATGAGCGAGTGTGTTGCCGCTAGCTGCGAAGCGAGCCATTTAAAAGCAAACAGAGGGAGGCACGGGCGCTGTCGGCACAACCAGACAACGCTTACCGACCAACAGCCGCAGTGTGCTGCCGCGCCGCGTGCAGCAGGAACAAAGGCTGCTGCCACGTCCCATGGTGGCAGGCTCAAAACATTGTAAAACCTAAATAAACATTGTAAAACCTAAATAAACATTGTAAATAATATATAAACATTAAAACGACCACAGTAGCCAAGTTCACTACATTAATATAAACAAAAACTTAAGAAACATTAAGAAAAACTAGATAAGGGTCGTCGCCGCCGCTGCCGCCATCGTCTTCTGTAGCCGCCATCCTACACGCTGTCGTCGTTGTCGCCAGTGAGGTCAACGTATGAAGGTGGCTGCTAGAGGTGGGCTGGCGGCCCTTGCCAGGCCGGAGGCGTCTGCTGTGGCGCCTGCACAACCTCTTCCCGTGGCGAGGAAGGTGACCATGGGTCGGCGTCCACCTCAGGCATGCACGGCATAGTCTCCGTCCATGTCCAGGACTGCCCGACCAAAGCCTCTGCCCCCACATCTTTGATGGCCTCCTCCTTGACATAGGCGTCGAGCTCGAGGAAAGCGACATCGCCGGCTCCTGACAGGGCCATCATCTCCTCGAGGCCCTGCCATTGGCACTCGTCGTGGGTTTGGAGGGAGTCCTCCATTACCTGCCTCATGAGGTCCTTCCTCCTTGGACCGTCATTGGCTCGGGTGGTGGCGGGGACGAAGACGGCGACAGCGTAGGAGTCAGGCCGCGAACCAGCCTGCCACCGACATGGCTGGGGTGGGCTGGGAGCGCGCCCGCTGTGGGCTTGTGGACGGCGGCAAAGAACGACTGCCTACGGATATCGTGCTTGTCGCGGACCCACGTATCCCTGAGCGGTGAGTCGATGGTGTACCTCTAGTCGCCGATGAGGTCTGGCGATAGGCGGGCACAGGGTCAATTGATCTCCTCCCGGCGGACGCGGACGCTCACCGGGACTAGCGGGATGGGCACCCGATCCGCAGAGAGGTGCCATTTGTTGGGGATGTGCACGTCGCTCCATGGCAACGGCGTGCCCGTCTTCCAGTACCTCTTGCAGATCTCCACCTTGACGTACGGGTGGTGACGATGTGGGGCGCCATCCGGCATGATGTGGAATGCGGTCGATGGAGGCGGAGGCGGAGTTGTGGAGCGGCGACGGCGGCCGGACGATGACCCGGCCTCGTTGTCATGCCTCGTCTTGTGGCCAGGAACCAGCGGCCCACCATTGTTGCCGGCGGGGTGGTGGAGGAGCGATGGGATAGAGTTTGGTTGTCAGGCTCGAGGAGGCACGCGTCGTCGGGAGTGGAAGTGTGGACTCCCACCGGTCCACAATTTCCACATTAAAAATGACGACGACAGCTCTGCCGGGGTGGCTGGCAAGTGGGTTCGTCCAAGCATGCGCCGTAACTGTGGACGGTGAGAGGAAGTGAGTGGCTAGCAGGTGGGTCCATCCAAGCATGAACAGTAAATGTGGACAATGGGAGGAAATGAGCGGCTGGCACGCGGGCTCGAGGCGGACACAGAGCAGACGCGTGAGTGTCCGTTCAACATCCGTGTGGACGCAAACCGGATGCAGGTTTACGCCAAAAATGGGATGGGCCATACTCCAAACAAACAAAAAATGCGGATGCGATGGCGCGTTGGACCGTGCCGTCTATCCGTTTGAGCCGGACAGGATGGGCTCTTGCGTTGAAGTTGCCCTTACCCGTCTCCGCCTTGCTTTAATAGAACGGCTTGCTGCTTCCGACTGTAATTTTGGCGATTGCACTTGTGATCTTTTCTGGTATTACACTCACACAGGTAGTTGATAACAAAATATAAATATAGTGGTAAGTGTTGTTTGGAAATTCCACGTTGCTTTCTGTTCTCCGGATCCTGCTACCACCAGCCCTCCTGGTTTGAGAACATCTTGATCTGAGAACATTTGGGCATGCACCGCCAAGATGTACTGGTAGTTATCTTGATCAAATATGAACTAATTTATGGTTAGATGGTTACAGAGACTGTGATATTCCCAATCCATCAGGGTTTTAGTCCTGGTGTTCGTATTTATTTTTGAATTTATTTCAGGATTTTCGACGATGCGCATTCAATGTGACGAGACGTTCCCATCGCTGACGAGGTGCCTACAGTGACTTCGTAAATTTCAAGAAGATATGCCGGCTCAGTCATTCTGAGGTGCTCATAAGGGTAAGGTGTGCATGTGTACGTTCATAGGAGTGAGTGTATGCGTATATATATAAATGTTTGCGTTTGTATTGTGTTCAAAAAAAGTTATCCTGATCAAAGCATGGACACTCGTAACACAGTGGGCACTGCTGACATTCCTTCTGACCTAAAGGATGCACTTCCCGAAAAAAAAAGATCCTGCCTTTACTTAATAGGATGCACTCGTAAAAGCCTGCTTTTCTTAAGAGCATGGTTAATAGTATAATCAGCTGATGGCTATATGACATTGCCATGTCATCTATAGCCAATTTTATAGCCTTCAAGTATAATAGTAAGATACGAAGATGTGCTACTTCATTAATACATGGCTCACTTCCCACTCTTACATAGTGCCTAGGAGCACGTGCTGTAACTGGCTCTTATTCTATAGCCGGCTCTTCTTCTCTCTCCTCTTCTCTTCCCTCCATGTTAGAAGAAAAATAATATTTTAATCCTTACAGCATGCTTACGTAAGCTTATTATACTTGCTCTAAGGGCATCTCCAATAGTTTATAT